ATGTCCATTTTTGATTTTTGGCTATTTTTTACACATTTTCAAAGGCCTTAGAAAAATAGTAACCATAGCCATAGGATTATGAAAACTACAGCATTTAGTACGCAGGGGTTGAGCTCAGGTGGCCTAGGGCTTTTGTTATTTTTAAATGAGAAATAATTTTAAAAAGCACATTTTTTGAATAAAACGTTTTTACATGAATTTCTCTATCAATAAATTTCATATACTTGGTTATCAAACCGTGATCCCGTAGATTACTTAAATACCTACAAATTTAATAAAAAAATAAAAATGAACACATTTTTGAACACAACAAAATAATATCAACTAAATAAAACTAGAAAACGTCATTTTACTGCATCACAAGCAGGGTTCGGAAGTAGTTAATTAAGACGTAATTTACCTGATCAACTACGTGTAGTTTTTCTTCAAAAACTACGTCTTTTCCCGTTCATTAACTACATGAAAACTACGTTAATAAACTATGTATTGATATTATGAATAATTTTGTATGAGGTATAATAGAGATAATATGACGTAAACATTATATTTAAAGCCATATTTCTTCTGTTTTCTTAAATACATTATGTGTTTTTAAAGCTTCAACTTACTATAACCTCACCTCAAACCTTTGATATTTGAAAGTTACATACATAATTTACATAAACTACACCCTCTACATAAACTACATTAACTACATGTAATGTAGTTTATGTAGTTTTTAAAAGTAACATGTAGTTTTCCGAACCCTGATCACAAGCAAATAAAAATTAATACGTAGCCAAGAGTCATAATTCAGGATTTCTCTGGGGGGTGCCCAGCAGCACCTGGGGGGGGGGCGGCACCCACGGGCACCCCTGTAGTTGCGCCAATGCTCATTTCTCTAATTTACCCTGTAACGATAGTTACCATTCCTTTTTCCAAATTTTAATAAAATAGAAGAATAGAACAAACGCCTTATAGCAAGCTGTCATCTATAACGACTTCCCGACGTTTCTACCCTCTCTTCCCAGGTGTCATCATCAGGTGCATGGTGGAAAATAGTGGTTTAGTCGATTATTTCACACGGTCAAGGCACAGGTGGGTACACCACCTGAATTGCGTGGTATTCGTGGATTTTTTGCGCTGTTTCGTGTCGTTTGCGGTTATGCTGGGTACCCAACCGAGTACCCCACGTTGTCGAGTGATAAGATAAGACGAATTGGTGCAGAAAATCGTGGTATTAAGGTATAGATAAGGGTTTCCTGATTTTTTTCACTTGATTAATTAATAAGCGTGATTTATTTTACTTAAATTAGCTCAAAAATTTTGAAAAAAATTATAAAAAATCTTCTGTATACGGGGTGTCCCAATATTCTTTGTACATAGAAGTACTAAGTATTTTTGGAGTAAAAATAGGATAATTTGGCACAATTTACCTCTCTAAAAGTATTTATTTTGTTCGTTAGAGGGTAAGAATAAGAACAAACCCAAACGTTAAATAATTCAAAATTTATGAAGCTTATTATCAGAAATTATTTGTGACACTGACATAAACATTCAATATCCAATAAAAAATCAAACATTCTAGCTACAAAAGGAGCGAACACTCCTCTAACTGGACCAGAACCAGAACCTTCTGCTTCCCAAGTGGAAACCATCTTAAAGCAGAACTCAAGAACTTGGAAGACTCTATCCGTAACATGGAATAGAACGTCCTCCAACGGTCTAAGACACTCAAAGAAATTTCTCAGGATTTACCCGTTAAAAATTTTTAAATATACTTTACTTACAAAAAATATGAATTTTTTAACTCTCCATCTACTGAAAAAAATAATATACAGGGTATTCTATTTAAGAAAACAAAGAATATTTTTTATTTTAGAAAGTTTGGCGTTAGAATGCGTCTATGATTTACGATTTCCACATTTATACCAAAGTAAGTACAGACCATCTAAACTAAATACATAATATAGTTTTGATTTCAGGACAGTTCTTGTATTTTTAACATTTTTTTTAAGAAATGCTAAAAAATATGTTTTTTATTCATTTATTTATATCTCTGAAACTATCCAAATATGTTTACTAATATCTTAGAATTATGTAAAATGATCTAAAAAGAAGACAAAAATGCAGTAATAAACGATCCACCCACACTTTTTTGACCCACCCTGTAGAAGTTAAAATATTTTCATAAAATACATCCTCCTACATACTTTTTTTTGCACTTAAACAAAATTTTCAAGTTTTTTATTCTAGGAGCTACCTACACTTTTGCCGGACCTTGTATATGTCCACGGAATATTGGAACACTCTGTATCCTGGATAAGAATCAAATGCGTCAAAATGTTAAAATGTTTTTTTCAGATGAAAAATATACAGGGTTGTTCACCACATACGACACGGAGTATTGTAGCTAAACGATGAGATTTTTACAAATTGTAAGTTTGGGGTTCGTTGAAGGACTATTAGAGCTACAATTTAAAAATATTTTTACAAGATACAGAGTGTCCCGAATAAATAAAAAATATCAAAGTTGTATTTTTTTAAATGGAACACCCTGTATATTATTACATTTTTAGTTTCTACGATTAAAATAAAGGTAAATTTGATTAAGGTTTATTATACTTAAACCTTACCGTTTTTGAAATATTTTCAATTTTGTGAAATTGCAGTAAAATTTTAAAGCTTCATTTCTCCAAGGGTATCAATGTTTTTAATACTAAATATTTAATGAAGTTTATTTATTGATCAGTTATTGTGTTGCAATAATAAAAATAATACTACCTTATACAGAGTGTCTAAAAATTTATTTTAAATAATTATTAGCTTCAAACGGCAATAACTTTTAGGAGAATCAGATGCACAATTAAATTGTCTATCAAATTGTATTATACCATTGTTTACCTATCCCTTCAAGTTTTCGTAGAAAATGCATTTTCTTATAATTTAGACCTCATTTATAAATATATCCATGGAATATTGACATTTTAGATTGTTTTTAAAGCAACAAATGTACAAAATGTACAGACTAGTAATATTATCGTTTTTAGCAAAACGATAATACCGTATGATCCAGAAAAAACGGCGTCAGCGATGGCTATGGAATGAAGATCGCTGTCATTTTAAATGTAAATTTATATGGGAAATGTCATTGATGTTCATTTCTCAGCCAACTGGACGCCGTTTTTTTTCGATCATACGGTATTACTAGCCCATTTGTATGCAAAAAGAAAACTATTTAAATCTTTATAAAAGAGTATACCATTAATTAAATATAACACCATTATTTCCGCCCATATACTAATTAATGGCACACTTAATTGTGTTCGTTAATAAATTATTATAAATAAATGTGGATTTTTGAGTCAGAAATCAATATAATAATAAGTTATCAAATTAAAGTCTTTGTTGTTATAAATAAGCATTTATTAAAAAATGAAATATCATTTATAAGGTGTTACTTTTTATCACACTGGCTAATGCCCATACAAAATTCAGTTTTTTAGTATTTGGAGCAATTATTATTAATCAACGCAAACAGTCAGTTAATGTAGTTTGAATACTGGAATCATATTAATTGGTCCTCTTTGACAAATATTTAAACAGTTTTTTTTTATTTTTCAATGAAATAAACTTATTATATCGACAATATTAGTATCTGTACTCTTTAAAAATTTCGTACATCTTTAAAAATAATCTGAAATGTCAGTATTCCATAGGTATATTGATAAATTGATAAAGAAGTTTTAAATTACAAGAAAATGCATTTTCTACGGAAACTTAAAGAGGTAGGTAAAAAATGGTATAATATAATTTGATAGACAATTAAATTGTGCATCTGATTCTCGTAAAATATACAGGGTGTTCCATTTAAATTAAACAAGTTATTGCCGTTTGAAACTAAAAATTATTTAAAATAAATTTTTAGACACTCTGTATAAGGTAGTATTATTTTTATTATTGCAACACAATAACTGATCAGTAAATAAACTTCAGTAAATATTTAGTATTAAAACTTTGATACCCCTTGGAGAAATGAAGCCTTAAAATTTTTACTGCAATTTCACAAAATTGAAAATATTTCAAAAACGGTAAGGTTTAAGTATAATAAATCTTAATCAAATTTACCTTTATTTTAATCGTAGAAACTAAAAATGTAATAATATACAGGGTGTTCCATTTAAAAAAATACAACTTTGATATTTTTTACTTATTTGGGACACTCTGTATCTTGTAAAATTATTTTTAAATTGTACCTCTTATAGTCCTTCATCGAACCCAAAACTTACAATTTGTAAAAATCTCATCGTTTAGCTACAATACTCCGTGTCGTATGTGGTGAACAACCCTGTATTATTTTTTATTTTCCTCTGTATTTTTTCAATACAAGCTTCTGTCCTCTAACCTAGCCAATGACATCAATGACAATCCCACACAACTGTCAATAAAACACTGAAAATCATTTAATCCTGATGATAGTGGCGCCAACTGCTCTTATAAGTTACCAGATCGACACGAAGAGACTATTTTGGACAAGTCAAAACATCATAACACCCAAAAATCGCTGTGCATTAAAAATAAAAGAAATAAAAAGCGTGTCATGTGTCCAGATGAAAGATCAGTAGCACAGTTTTTTTATATCTATACACTAAGAAAAAATGAGAAACGGTTATAAATAAAGCATTTTAAATATTTATACAAGGCTTAATGCATTCCGCACATAAATCAGTCCAAGTTTTTCGATTCAGAATCGATAAACAAGTCCCGAGAGAACAGATTTGATAAAAATGGGACACATTCAGAGACCTTGTAGCGATTTATTTGTTTCGGATACTGTGTTTATTAAAGTCGACCGGAATCCAAAAAATATTGTAGAAAATGGGTAAAAATAATCTTAAGTTAGTTTTTACCTTATTAAAACATAAAATACTAAAAAAATATCTAAATCAACCTTGAAAGTATTTTTGTATAACTTTACCCAACAAATTTTTGTATAAAATATATAATAAATAAAATCCTACCTTTTGAAATTCCAGTAATAGAGACTATTTCGCACAAAAACACACTAAAGTCACATTTTTCACTATTTTCACTACTAATTTCTTAAAATACACTTTAAAATTGCAACAAAACATTTAATCAACAAGATTTACTGCCATTTTATATTGCAATTGACAGAAGGTAGCGGAATTGTTCATTTTTTTGTTCTGACCGAGTTGCTAGGTTTCTGTAATTCAATTCAAAGCCAACTAAGTTAGAGTTTTACCTAAACTCGCTAAATTAATGTTGATAATGGATTATTTTTAGCTAAAACCTTTGAAAAATGCCAAAAATACTAAAAAAAATATTTATTTTAATTGCATGCATTTTTCTATTAAATTTAATTAAATTATTTTTATTTAATACTATTATCTATACTGATAAATAAAATCCTTAAGTGACTGACTCACTGATTAATCACGATCCTGCTCAAACCACTCAACGTAAGAAGCTCAATTTTGGCATACAGGTTGATTCTAGGGTGTAGAGGTTCGATAAGAAAGGATTTTTCGAAATTCCAGTTCCAAGAGGGTGAAACCACCCCTCAAATATTACAATATTTTTTATTTAAAAAACGGTCAAGTTTCCGAAAAAACGCTTAAACACCTATATTTTATTTTGTTTTTTTACATATTTTAAGATTTTCTAAAAATGTATACAGGGTGTTTCGAAAAATCTGGTCATTGATTAATCACGATCCTGCTTTAAAGCGCTTGCCGTAAAAAGCTGATTTTTGGAAAACGGATTGACTTTAAGGTGTAGAGGTTCGATAAGAAGGGATTTTTCGAAACTCCAATTCTAAGGGGGTAAAACCACCCCTCAAATATTAGAATAATTTTTTTTTAAAAACCGGTGAGTTTTTCGGAAAAACTCTTAAACTCGTATATCTTATTTTGTTGTTTTACATATTTTAAGATTTTTTAAAAAATTATACAGGGTGTTTCATAAAATATGACCATTGAATCACGATTCTGCTTAAACTGCTTGACGTTTAAAGCTGATTTTTGGCAAACGGATTGACTGTGGGTTGTAGAGGTTCGATAAGGAGGGGGTTTCTCGAATCTCAAATTCCAAGAGGGTGAAAACGCCCCTCAAATATTACAATATGTTATTTAAAAAAAACGGTTAGTATTTCGGGAAAACGCTTGGACAGGTATAATTTATTTTGTTTTTTTTTACATATTTTGAAATTTTTAAAAAATCATACAGGGTGTTCCAAAAAGTTGGGTAATTGATTAACCACGATTCTGCTTAAACTGCTTGACGTAAAAAGCTTATTTTTGGCAAACGGCTTTTTCGAAAGTCAAATTCCAACGAGATGAAACTACCCCTCAAATAATACCAGGTTATACAATAATATCGCCATATTGTTTTTTCCATAGATTTAGGAAGAACAGATATCACATTGTGCATTTTAACCCGATCAAACAATCGGAGGTTGACTACGTACTGTAAAAACCAACTGAGATAGAGAAGGCGACATTGCCACGTCTCAAATTTGCGCCTATCTACTTAGTTTGATTTGCAGAAAAGGTGACTTTAAAACCTTCACCGGATATCGATAAATCTCAATTTCTTAATTAAATTAATAGTTTATTTTTAAAGAAGCATGCGTAATAGTATGTTATTAACCAGAGGATATATGCGTTACTATTAAAGGACATGTTTACTGTTTAATGTGCTGAAACGTCTAGAACTATTGGCAACGTCGCTGCTAGTCTTCCAGAATGAAATGAGCCGTCCGTCCCACCACCCCTCGCGACGGCCCTTGGTCCGTTATAGCGTACTACGTTTAGCTTACGGTGTGTTTGAAGTCGGAATCAAGTCCGAAGTGAACTTTTCAGTGTTTTTCAGTAGTTTTTGCTTTTGTTTAACGTACTTTTGAATCTGCGAATTTTCAATATGGTACGACAGTGTCAAATGTGTGGAAAAATAAGCTCAAATTACCCGAATTTGTCTTTTCACAGGTAGGTATTGTTTCCGCCGCGCCGTAATCGCCGTACATAGGCGTCTCACAAGGGAGCCTCTCACAATTAAAATAATTTCTAATTATATTTGTTGAATTTTGAGCTACTAAAACAAGAACGTAGTAGCCGGTAATTGAATTATAATTCGTCTCAATTACTATTTAACTATTGTAGATCATAACAAATTTGAATATAAACGTTGCATTTGAAACTTTATTATAAGCCAGAAAGCGACATTTTTTTTCTTAAAATTGCGTCATATTTTGGTCATTATATACGATATTCTAAAGGAATTTTGCTCAACAAATAAACAAAGGTGTTTACCCGCCCCTTTTTACATTTTATTGCATTATTATATCTGCCCCTTCGGCCTCGTTTAATCAATTTTTACCACCGTACAAATACCTCTTCCTAGAGTTATTTGTACGGTGTGTTCTTTTTTTAGAATGGGACGAACTGTAAATAATTCTTAGGCTACTAGTTTTATACATACCTATATACAGAGTGACCCAGGCCTCCAAAAAAGCTTTTTACCTATTACGTTATAGGTTTGTAATTTTTATTTCAATTTTTTACATAAGATGGGGGCCATTGTAACGCACATTTTCAAAATATTTTTGTCAACATACAAGGTGATTCTCGGGATGATTCAAATCGCAATACATATGCTTAATACAGTTCATGAAGATTGGGACATTTAATTAAAATTTGATTGTCTGATGAAGCTACCTTTAAAAGTAATGGATTTGTAAATAAACGTAATATTCATTATTATGCAACAGAAATCCCATACTGTAGCACACAGATTTGATACTTTTAATGATAAATGCCTTCTATTGAGAGACTGAAAGGTAATACCTCGTATCAGAGCCATCATAATACAAGAAGAAGACCAAAAGTCAAATCTTGTCTTATATTTTCAAAAAAACACAATTTTCTCATTAAATATTGATTTTAGGTATAGGAAGTTATTAATAATACAAGATTAAACAACTATTACATAGTACTTTACAGGGAGCTATCGATTGCGAACTAACTAAATCGTTACTAATTACTAATTTTAAAAAGTTCTTTTTAAGATCAAAAAAGGTAAAACTAAAACCTAAATTATCATTTGAGATTAAACGGGAAGTTCTAAATAATGTTGCCTATTCTAAACAAGAAAAATGTATTTATAAGTTTTATAACATCTCTAATTAAATTTGGACGAAAATAATATTTCTGTTTGCTGTAGGTAATTTTCTCAGGGAAAATACGTAAATAAAAATGACTTTTTAAGTAAAAAAAAAGTTATTCCAAAAAAGGACTGTCCTTTTCAAAAAAGGACAGGTGGCAACCCTAGGTATTTCTGGAATGGAAATTTAATGGCAAATCTACAACTTTAGTTTGAAAATATGTTCCGGCCCCCTATGTTTACAAAAATGTCTAAAATGTGCTTTACCATTGCCTCCATATTCTGAAAAAAAAAATTGAAAGAAAAGTCACCAACCGCAAACCTAATATTGAACTGTTTCGGAAGCCTGAGTCACCCTGTAAATATTCAAAAGTAACTGAAAGTTTATATAGAATTAACTGAAAGTTTAAATTGAAAATCGACGTTGGAGCGATTTTCGAAAACTACCTACTTACGTTTTAACATAAGTATATGTGGGATATTAATTATATTATTATATTAGACCTTATAACAAAACTCATCTGACGAAAAAGTGTTAATGTAGTATATTAATATGGAGTAAACATTTTACTAATTACTTTACTTTTACTTTACTAATTAAATTCGTTCCAAAAAACGATACGCCACTGGCCATTAGAACAATCCAAATGCGCCTAGTTGCCGGGGTCGGAAATTTTAGACTTCTCTGCCTCTTCTGTCCTTGTTTGACACATTGGAATGTTTGATACACTACCAACGAGTATTTATGAATGAGATGTTCGGTCTATATTTATAATGTCTTTGGTTTTTTCCCATGCTGACATAAATGTGAGAAAATTTTATCCAGTTTGTATGTTAATGGAAATTCTTGCTTTGCTTTATCATCACCATTGCAAATGATTAATTCGACGCGAACGAAGTTGCGGGTACACGCTAGTTAAATATATTTTTCGTTTACCTATTTATTTCTTTTCGACATCAAGAACTTTGGTTTAGTTATGGTATGTATGTAATAAGACGTGTTGAAAGATAAAAATGTATTTATTAATTTTTTATTAAATGTTAAAATCTTTCGAATTGCGGACTTTTTGACAGCAACATTGCTTTAAACTGGGACATCCTTAATTATTAAACACCGTTAAAGTGAAAAAATAAATTTAGGAAAAACAATAAATACTCCTTCTACAAATTAAAACAATTTATATTGTCCAAAACTGCCAGAAACCTTCATATTATTGTCTTCTTTTTGGGTAAAAATCCTTCAGCCTTCAAATTTTCCTTCAATCCGTCATATTCAAGGAAATTCTTCAATTCTGACAACACCGGTCCGGTTTTTTCAAAATCTGCGATGTTTTTGAAAGACACGAAGGACACTTAACCGCCAAATCACCACAAATCTATCGATCTTGGGTCCCTTACCCTTGCACTGTCGATATAACAAGAGCTCATGAATAAGCAGATGTAATTTGCTGAGTGCTAGCCAATCTGCGGTGGTAATAGTCGTAGTAATACTGTAGTAGTGTGCACACTGGCTGTGTGTTTGTCTATCTAACTGGGGAGTCTGTTCTCGGGTCGTCCTGTGCCCTTTTTACTCACACACATACACACTAGCATTGATAAGCGAGAGATGAATATATACAGATGAAATTAAAGCTAATATTTACAGTGGAAAGATGGGATATAATGCTACGAAAGCAGGATAAAGTTTGATAATATGATTTGATTGCCATTGATTGGATCAAGTCAAGTCTTGTGGAAAATAGCGCATAATCGATGTAATTTTTTCGGTAACTAACTTTACATATAAATTGTGTATTGTGTCTCTCTTTCTTGAGTTATATATATATATATATATATATATATATATATATATATATATATATATATATATATATATATATATATATATATATATATATATATATATATATATATATATATATATATATATATATATATGAAATGAACAAAATTCTTACAGCTTTTA